TCTTTTCTTTCTTTCTTTCTTTCTTTCTTTCTTCTTTCTTTCTTTCTTTCTCTCTTCCTCCCCCTCCTCCTCTTTCTTTCCTCAGGTCACCTAAGAATGATTTGAATTAGAAGATCTACTTAACAATTTACCTGGAGAATTATAACTAGTGTCTACTGATATTACCCTAATTTGTCTATGTATTCCTTATAGGGGGGAGAAGGGGAATGAAGAGACACTGAATTTTATGTCAGAAGCTATTTTTGCAGGCAGATCCTTTCATTTCTAATAATCTATGTGCTCAACGTCCATAAAGAGCTCCATTTCATACAGAATCACATAAGTAGGAACACACTTTTGGCAAAGACCAAGGTGAACATCTGATTTCCCCATGACTGGCACACTCACAGAAACCTGGGAGTGATGCATCAGCCAGTAAGGGGACCTGAGCAGGGTACCAGCAGCATCCACTACACTTGTGATCCTCAGTTCAGTAAAGTCATTTTCAATATGCCCTGTAGAGCCCCACCCAAAGCTGGGGCATCAAAGTTCTTCATGCTCTGCAAGGAACAATAAGAAATAAACCTGCCATGCAGAAAGGAACATTTGTCTCTCTTGATCGTGGCAGAAGTGGAGGAAAAAGTTCTCCCTTGAGAATTTATATCCACAAAGCAGTCCTCACACAAAAAATCTAAATTCTCATATCACTTGTGTTCCAAAAAAACTCAAATGGAAAATTTTAAAGTGATTTTAGGTTCGCCCAGCCGGGCGTGGTTCAGCTGTTGAGCGTCAACCTGGGATCCAGGCAATCGGGGTTCGATTCCCAGTCAGGGCACATACCCGGTTGTGGGCTTGATCAATGACTCTCTCATCATTGATGTTCCTCCCTCTGAAATCAATAAAGATGTTTTTTAAAAATAAAAAAAATAAAGTGATTTTAGGTTCATAGTACCTCCAAGAAAGAAGGGGGGGGGGGGCAAAGAAACAACAAAATCACCAAATAGAAAGCATCTAAGAGGATAGAAATAAAATATATCAGGAATCAAAATAAATGCTAATGGACTAAACCCTCCAGAAAAAAGACAAAGATTATCAAATGAATATTTTAAAATCCCATGTGTTGTTTCCATGAGATACCTTTAAAGCCTAAGACTAGGGCAAGTAGGTACTTTATCCCTTTTGGTTCCTAGGGAACAAACACTGAAATACAATCTTCAACGGCAAAATCACCAGGTGCGTATCATCCAA